CTCTTTCTGGCCTTCCTGCTGCTTTTCCCTAATCCTTTCCTTTCAAAGCATTCCTTCCTGAGCCACTGGGACTTAAAATTCTAAGAACTGGCACTTACCTGTGTAAACCTTTGACACACCATTTATATTACTTACTTAACTAGGCACCATGCCAAGGACCCTGGAGGTTCAGGGACCATGTTAGGGATGTGGTGTGCACAGCCCCCTCTGCTCCTAGACATTAACGAGTGCTGCATTACTTATGCTGTACACTCTCACAGGCACAGGGACATGCCCAAGGAAGAAGGGTAGGAGTAGAACTTGACCCTCACTGGTTCCCAACTTAAGTTTCACAGAGCTAGAAGCTGGGCTTTAAAGCTCATCTCTCCTCTGGGTTTTCCAGCTGAGAGGTCGCATTCTAGCCAGGCAGCTTTTCTAAGCCCGTGCAGCATATCTATAAGACTGAAATGACCACAGCTGTTCTGCTTTCCAGGTGGCTGGTGGGGCAACTCCAGTCGTGAAACACTTTCGAGACCTCAGACTAGACAGGTAGAAGATGCTATTGAGCTCTTGTTAATGACAACATTCTTTTATTAATTACTATTAGCTTTCAGTGAAAGAAAAAGTGCTACTACAGTGGACTACAAATGCCAAAGGCAAGTTGACGTCTATGTAGAACCTTGCCCTTGAAAAATGAAGGCTAGAGAAGGCTTAGCAGTTAAGAATGCTTGCTGCTATTCCAGAGGACCTGCTTTGGTTCCAAGCACCAAGGTCAGGCAGTTTACAACCTGGAACTCTAATGTCCTCTTCTGGTCTCCATCGGGACCCACAGGCATGTGTACATATACACATATGTGTAGTGTGTGGGTAAAGAACCAGAACAAAATTATTCTTAAGCCAAGTGGCTTCTCTTTTGTTCCACACAGGTAAATAGCTTACAGACAGCTGCTGCACCTCCATAGGCCCTTTTCCTTTCTCCCACACAGCTCGACTCCCATATAAACCCTAACCCACAACAAAGAGGGCCAATACTTTTCTGAATGCCTAGGCTACTCTAAGAGTGAATATATCTTTTGCTTATACCATACTTGTACACAGTATGTCTGGTCTACATATGTGCTATCTGTGTGCTGGTGTGACACATCTGTATTGGGGGCAGTCATCTCAAATCAGTTGTCAGCATGTTAAGAAAAGGTATGCAGCTGTGTATGGGTTATGAACAGCAGAGACAGAAAGTAGAGCTGCCTAAGTCTGGAAGGTAATAAGTCCCAGACATCAAACATTGAGTTTTACAGCGTTGGACTTTGGTTTGGAATTGAATGTGCCCTGGTTTTTCTGTCTTGCACTAAGAAAACCTATAACTTATTTTTCATTTTACAAGAGCCCACGGTTGAGAAGCTGTACCTTTTTTTTTTGGGGGGGGGGGTTGTTTCAAGACAGAGTTTCTCTGTTTAGCTCTGGCTGGGATTAAAGGTATGTACCATCACTGCCTAGCAAGACTTTGTACTTTAAAAGACTTTGGACATTTTAAGAAGACTGAACATTTTTGTTTGTTTGGTTTGGTTTTTTTGAGATAGGGTCTCACTATGTAGCCCTGGCTGTCCTGGAACTTACTCTATAGAGCAGGTTGGACTTAAACTCAGAGATCAGCCTGCCTCTGCCTCCTGAGTGCTGGAACTAAAGGCGTGTCCTGGAAAAAAGACCAAACTTTTAAGTGTTTGAATTTTAAAGACTGTGGAACTTTTAAAAGTTGCAATGTTTTGAGCTGGGCATAGTGGCACACGCCTTTGAGCCCAGCACTCGGGCAGAGGCAGGTGAATCTATGTGAGTTCAAGGCCAGCCTGGTCTACAAAGAGAGTTCTAGGACAATCAGAGCTGTTACACAGAGAAACCCTGTCTCAAAAAACCAAAAAGTTGAAATGTTTTATATTGTGATAGTAATTACAATACAAGATCTTGGGGACAAATAAGAAAGGAAAGTTTATGACTTAATATGATGTGTTTTGTATATCACGTTGACAAGGGTCAATTGTGTTGGTTAATTTTACTTCACTTTGAAATAAGCTAGTCATGTGGGAAGAGGCTATCTTAATTTAGAAAATATCTCCATATGACTGGGATATGGGAAAGTCTGTGGCGCATTTTCTTGACTGATGACTGATTCGGGAGGGCTCAGCCCACTTAGGGTGGTGTCAACCCTAGGCAGTTGGTTCTGAGTTGTGTAAGAAAGCAGGCTGAACAAGCCATAGGAGCACTCCAGTAGGAAGCATTTTTCTATAGCCTCTGCTTAAGTTCCTGCCTCCAGATTCCTGCTCTTGCTTCCCTTAGTGATAAAGTGTGACCCCGTGTAAGTTGAAATAAACCCTTTCCTCTCTAAGTTGCTTCTTCTGGTCATGGTGTTTTATTTTAGCAAGAGACTTCAACTATGACTAAGGCTAAGGTATTGTGTTATTAGCAAGAAAAAGTTTTTTTAAATTTTGTTTTTGAGACAGGGTTTCTCTGTGTAGATTTAGCTGTCCTGTATCTTACTCTGTAGGCCAGGTTGGTCTCGAACTCACAGAGTTCCACCTGCCTCTGCCTCCCAAGTGATGGGATTAAAGGCCAGAAAAGAGTTTTAAGAGTTGAACACAAGTGAATGAAAAGATGCAGAAAAGAAAAAGACAAGGTATTGGTAGAGAGGGGTCTCCCACTTCCAGGCTGACTGACCATGCTCTAGAATCCACTCATGATGGGGAGCTTAGCACTAATGGCTGAATGTCCTGCACTGCACAAGGTGGACATACCAATCCTACCTGCAAAAGCATCACAAGTAAAAAAAATGTGTGACTCTAGACAACTGTAGGAAGCCACTGAGGCACTGGGTTCAAAGATGTGTTTAGCAGAGCCTGTGTGTGCTAATTAGAACAACATCCGGTCCCCAACAATGTTAAAAGATAGCACACTGTAGTCTGCCCTGGAGGTGGTTACGATGACAAGACTAGGACTGGGAAGGCATCAATGCACCTTCTGCGTTCTAGAATCAGCTCTTTACAACAAGATCATCTTGGGATTCTGGCTACCCACCATCAGGTAAAAAACACTCACTACATACAGAGCAGTGTCACATTGCCCTCAACAATCTACTAAGGCAATGTGGAGTCACTGTGGGATGGGCAAACAGCAGGACAAAACCAGACAAGAGGCTGACAACCCCACAGCAGCAATCAACACACACATGTCCATCATCTCTCCCCCACATTCAGACCATGCACCACAAGGTCACACACCACACCCAGGCTCCTCACCTGGACAAGGACTTTGAGTGAGTGCCACCTGCTGGCAGGGCTGGAGCTCTTGCACCTGCAGCTCCTCCCATTTCCTTCCTTCTTCTTGGGATGGCTGGAGACTGGGAAGGTCTTTCCAAAGAAAATGGAGAAAGCAATGTCATATACAGGTATCACTACTCAGAAACAACTAAGGAAGAGGTAGTTTATGATCTGTAGGTGCTGTGTTCCCTCCTGGGGCCTGGGATGAAGGGGTCATTCCCCTGAGTGAATGAACCCTCAGG